TTAAAGATTCTTCTGGTCAGGCTTTTGTACACAGACTTAGATTATAAAGCAAAATTATAGTTTTTTGCTGGAGAAACCAAAACCCCACTATCTTACTAGAAAAGATTTCTCAAAATGCTCTCAGAGCTGTTACTGGCTTCTTTATTAACTTCTAAAGTTTTTGGTTTTTTTTTCTTTTCTTTAAAAGAAATATACTGACTCCTATATATTTTAGAATTTTGGGTCAATGAAATTGATTTTGACCCCTTCAGATACTGTCCTTTTTTTTTTGACTAGTCAAGTGCAGTAGAGAAGGGAGAAGATACTGTTCTTATTGCTTTACCTAGAATAATAGAAATTAGCACTAACTTACCTGCCAGTGATGTAAAATTGACTATAGGTAGAAAATTGTGAGTCTCTTATTCATCTCATTCCTTGTACTGGAAGGGTAAGGGACATTTTCACCAGCAAGGGCATCCCTCCAACAACCTGACAGGCCTCATCTTGTTAGATACCTCTGTAACTACATGGTAACATGTTAGATCCACATTTAAAATTGTTTCTAGTCTACTTGCAGTTGTTGGGCTTTTTTCATATAACTCTTTGCCAGTATTTTGAAGCATGCTAACTAGACATATTGTGTTGTCAAGAAATGACTGATGGCCGGGCGCGGTGCCTCACGCCTGTAATCCTAACACTCTGGGGGGCTGAGGCGGGCGGATTGTTTGAGCTCAGGAGTTCGAAACCAGCCTGAGCAAGAGCGAGACCCCGTCTCTACTAAAAATAGAAAGAAATTAATCAGACAACTAAAAATATATAGAAAAAATTAGCCTGCCTGTAGTCCCAGCTACTTGGGAGGCTGAGGCAGTAGGATTGCTTGAGCCCAGGAGTTTGAGGTTGCTGTGAGCTAGGCTGACGCCACAGCACTTGCTCTAGCCAGGGCAACAGAGCGAGACGCTGTCTCAAAAAAAAAAAAAAAAAAAAAGAAATGACTGATGTGGGGACAGGGAGCTTGGCCCAGCTGGAGGAAGTGGGGGTGGAGGGCCATGGGCAGTTTTGTCATTGTTTTCAGGTCCTTCACAGACCATGCACAGCCTGTTGCCTGCAGCTGGTCAGACCAGGCCCCTTCCAAGTGCATTCCCCATGGGATGGCCACTGCTCAGGGCATAGCTAGGACAAAGCTGGATTGATAGGACATTTTAAAGACTCATTTTACCTCTGACAAAGGCATGGCCTGACTTTGCAGCCACAGCCACCACTTGGTTCTCGTGACTGCCTTCTTGGGGCTGTTGGATGACCCAGAAGCCCACGTAGGTTAGAAGATGACTGTGAAGCACAATGATGTTCTGTGAACTGGAGGGTTTTTATGTTCTCAATGACTGATGCCTTGCCCTAACCCTAGAATTTAGGGGCAGCTAGGAAGGTTCTAGTCTATGTAACCTAGGAGGGTCATTTTAATAAAAAATTATTATGAATTATAGTATTTTAGATGATGAGTGACTTATTTTAAAATTACTTTAATTCCACTTTAATATTTCACTGTGATGTTAACTTGGAAGACCTGTTTGAGATTAGTCTTTTAAATTCATTTTAAACTCATTAAATCTGCTGAGAACAGGGTTCTTACAATTTGTAAATCCAAAACACTGTGTGAAAGTACTTCTAGTTACCAATTTCTTCCTTTACAAAAGCATAACTTAAACATGAAAATAATGTTGGTTTATAGAAATACTTGTTGTTCAAGGTCTGTAATTGTATTTAAAAAATGATGTAGCATTCAAGTTGTGAAGGGATTTGTTTTGTCAAAAACTTAAAAACTCAATGTGTATGACACCACTCCAAAGAGTAGGGGACTGCTTTGCAGTCACGGCAGGTGGCACTTGACTGTGGTTCACATAAATCACCCTGAACAGCCACGGCTTTTAGCAGTTGGTTGGAATGTATGCCCTAGGCTACATTATGTTTGGTAACATCATCTCGAAAAGTCCCTGCTATATGTCAAGGAGACTGCTTTCCCTGCCCTGAAGGAATGTATTTCTAAGGCAAATAGGCAACTCCATACTATCTCATACTGAGTAGAGAGTGGAGAAAGTATTTTCAGACTCAAGAAAACTTTCAAAAGTCAGGAACTAAGCTACTCGGAAATCGGTGCCACAAGCGTGGCCATGGTGGACGTGGGAAGCGACGGGAAATTCTTGACAGTCTATGTCCATTCAGTCACTGCACTTTTCTCTTTCCAAATGCACCCTGTTGGACATGAATAGATCGTAGATGTCTAGACTGAGATCTGGGACTGTGTTGGGACCGCACAGGTGAACGTGCCACATCCACAAATGGCGTCTCCGAGTGAGTCACGTCACCTGGGGTGTGGAGGTGGTGCCTGCCGCTGGAGTAAGGCTTGTTGTGTGATGCCTGTGTAATTTGCTCTTCTTGCGGGGTTTGCTGATTGGAGAGCATTGGATACTTCTCGACTGTGGCTAGTTTTTTGTCCAGTCGCTGGGAAGGGGTGTGGTGGGGTAAACGTCGGAACCTTCTGCAATCTGTGTCATGGACTGTAATGTTGTAAGGTCTGTATTCTGTATGTGGATCTCAGACCCCAATCAGGAAACGAGCCTCATGTGTGTCCTAACATTTATATTTCCATTCAAAATATGTATTTCAGTGTTTATTTCCTCGAAACAGACTTTGTTAATTTAGTAAATATCTCCAAGTGGAAACGTGCTAACTTTTTCTGTAAATCTTAAATAAAAGGTGCTGTTCCTTCCTCTGATCCAGGACTGGTTTGTGTTTTCTGTCTTTCTCTCCATGCATTTTTTTCTCTTTTTTAGCTTTTAAATTTGTTCCAGCCACATGAAGGAAAGAGCATGGGTTGGTGGTAGTGCACGGGGCTCTCTTTCCTTGAGCCCAAGTGAAGGCCCCTTTCCATGGGCCATGGTTCCTTCGTCAGTCAGATGGGTCAGCCTGGGGCGGCCATGTGGGCGACTCTGAGTGGGGCCCCAGCCAGACAGGGAGGCCGTTGCTTCCCAATGCCCCAGGCTCCCCCAACGCCCACCTCAGAAGCATTTAGCCCCCTCCTGTGACCCTGTATCCGATGGACATATTAGATTTGGGGTTTGAACTCAGATATTTCAAGTGGCCTGTTTTGCAGATGTTAACGTCACAGCGCAGGAGGTGAGCCAGCCTCGAGGGTGGGCTGCCGAGGGTGGGCTGCAGCCCTTACAGGCCCCCAGCTAGCCTCACAGTGGCAGAGCCTCACCGTGGGGCAATGCACTGATTTAGTGTTGTTCATGATACTATTTCCATCTTCCTGGACAAGGTGAGGAAATCGAGTTTAAAAGGCAATGTTTTCTTTAGGCTGTGCCTAAAGATGTGTCTAGTGAGGCTAGAAGAGCAGCCCATTCCCCAGTCAGGGCCAGCAAAAGCCTGCAGAAGAAGTCAGTCAACTTTAATGCTAATTTAAAGTCAACAAAAACTCCTGTGTTTATTTTAATTTTTTTTCTTCCAGTGCTCCCTGTGATTTCAGTGAGCTAAATCTGGGAAAAGCTCATTGATAAGGCTACAGGATTGATCAGAATCCCTGGTGGGTTCATTCTTGTTTTTTAACGTGGCCCTATTTCAACTTCTAGCTTTGTGTTCATTAACAAACAGCAAGCCTATAATGTAATTACTTGTGAGTATTGAGGTGTACAGGAAATAGAGTTCTGTTTCATCTCTAAAATTGAATTTTGACACTTATTTACCTAACATTAAATAAAAACCAAATTTTTTTAATACCTGAATTTGATAGACAAGAAGGTTTTCTGTTTTATTAATTTGAACACTTACTGCTTGTCAAGCGAGGGCGAGATGTTATGTACAACAAGGGTGAGGCTTGGGCCTGGTTTTAATCACCTCTATTAAATGAAGGACAGATGGATGAAATACAACCTGAAAATCATTCCATTTACTCAGAAATTCCACTTCTTTCTCCCCGACCTTTTACTTAGACTAAAATGTTAGCAAAGTAGGCATTATGTTACCTTCCCTTTTCCTGCCTTACCTGCTCTGTTGGGCAGGAGTGAATGAACTAAGAATTTCAGGGGAGACGTGGCAATGGGAGAAAGAAGAGCAGCGGGGCCAGTCGCCTTCGGGTGTGAACGAAGACCCCTGGCCTCTGGGTCGGCACACCAGCGGGAGCACACTCTTCTGGAAGGGCTCATGGTCTCCACCTAGGCAACAGCGGGACAGCACAGTCACCTGATGAGACATTACGTTTGACAATTCATCTTGGTTCCTTTAAAAATTCATTTGGCACTATCAAGTTTTTGTTACCTAAAAATATTAAGAACTGAACAGTTGGGTAAGAAAGGTCAAGATTCTCTGTCCCGGCCGGGCGCGGTGGCTCACGCCTGTAATCCTAGCACTCTGGGAGGCCGAGGCGGGCGGATTGTTTGAGCTCAGGAGTTCGAAACCAGCCTGAGCAAGAGCGAGACCCCGTCTCTACTAAAAATAGAAAGAAATTAATCAGACAACTAAAAATATATAGAAAAAATTAGCCGGGCATGGTGGTGCATGCCTGTAGTCCCAGCTACTCGGGAGGCTGAGGCAGGAGGATCGCTTGAGCCCAGGAGTTTGAGGTTGCTGTGAGCTAGGCTGACGCCACGGCACTCTAGCCCGGGCAACACAGTGAGACTCTGTCTCAAAAAAAAAAAAAAAGATTCTCTGTCCCAAAGCCCGTCTTAGTTCACCTATTAGAGCAAATTAGATTTTCATGACTTATTTCATTTTTAAGGAATATGCCTCATATAGACATACGTATGCTAAATATTGAGTAGGATAAAGTTCATTTTTGAATTTTCTATAGAGCTCAATTGACAAGTTGTATTATCACAAAAACCAATTGATGTTGGGAGTCACTGGCAGTGATGGGTGTTGAGAAAGACTCTAGGAGATGAGGCCAGGTGGGGCGAGTCTCTGAAGGGGGCGGACACTCACTGTTTTCTGTGACTAGTGAACTGTCATCCACCTTCCTTCATCTCCAGGTCTCAGACAGCCTGGGAGACGAGCCTTCGGAGTCACCATACGAAAGCGCAGATGAAACACAAACTGAAGTGTCCGTCTCGTCTAAAAAGTCTGAGCGAGGAGTGACCGCCAAAAAGGAGTACGTGTGTCAGGTGAGGGGAAGGCAGCATCTGCTCTGTCCATGACGGCACCTGCCGAGGGCTGTGGGTACAGCAGAGCCAGGCCGCAGCATCTTCTCTCCTCCCTCCAGACCCTCCCCAGCCCCATCCTTTCTCACTGATCTGTTTTGAAAGAGCTAGGCCACTAGCAGAGTGCTGGGATTAAGTTGCCTCAGCTAACATCCTTTGTTCATGTGCAAGATGTGTGTTTCATATATGTGTCACATATAACATACACATCTAAAGGTCCTATGTTAGAAGAGGTGGGGATGCTAGGCTGATGTTCTGGTCTCACTGTTAACACCACACTGGGTGGGCCATGCTGTGGCTAAGGTGGATGTCAGCTGACCTATGCCCAGGGGGCAGGAGTGCATGCAGTGATGAGGGCCCAGGTTGGTGTCCTGCTGGCACAGTGCCCTTGGATAGGTCATCTAACTTTTCTGCCTTAGCCCCTGCCCCATCCATAAGGTGGAAATAAAGTCGGACCTTCTGTACAGGGCTGGTGCTATGTGAGAAATGCTAGCGCTGTGCCTCCCCTACAGCCAGCTCAGTACCTATCACCTGCTCTAGGATGACTGATTTTTTATGAAAATGTGCTGTGGGTTTTCTTGATTTCCAAATCTAAGTTGAAACATTTTGAATGTACCCTTCAGGGTTTTGATCCTGTTGTTTCCTTCACCATTACTGAGGAACTGACTCCTTTCTGTAACACGTCATCTGGTTTTGATCTGATACTGTGTTTATTATGGGTTCTGCTCAAGCTAGGCATTTCACTAGACACCTGTGGTTATATTTCTTTGAGTAGCAAAACAGAATTTTCTGCCATTGGAGACAATCAAACTGTCCCCTTGTGGTAAGGAAGAGTGCAGAAGGGACTCGTGCTGGGTTGGCTCATGTGGCCCCTTTCTGTCCCCACAGCTGTGTGAGAAGACAGGCAGCCTCTTGTTGTGTGAAGGCCCCTGCTGTGGAGCTTTCCACCTCTCCTGCCTCGGGCTTTCCCGGAGACCAGAAGGGAGGTTCACCTGTAGCGAGTGCACCTCAGGCAAGTTCTGTTACTTCTAAGGCTTGTTCCTGAGGGTGGGCAGTTCTGCAGCTCAACTGGCCACCTTTTCCTCCACTCCCTTCGCTAGTCTTGTCCTGAGACACTATCAGAGAACAGGCTTCCTCCCCCACACCACCACCTGTCCCTCAGGGGAGTCTGCAGTCTGCACCTGGCGGGTGTGACCACCTCTCAGAGGTCCCCTCAGTTTTCTCTGATTTTAGTTGTGCGTGTTCCTTTGGGTACGTCCCCATCAGATGGTGGGCCTTACTGCTTCAGTGAGATGACCAGTTTGGTATACAGTGACTGACTGAGGGAGGGGATATCAGGTTGTAGGCTTTGCCATACCCTTCCCATGGGCTGTCCTGAGCCTTGTTCTGTCTGTGAGGCAGCCATCGTGGGCACTGCACCTCTAGACAGCCTAGCATTGCTAGTGCAGGTAACCTGGTTGGTCACAGAATGCTGAAGTTCATAGGGGTGTGGAGTTCTTTATGAAGACACAGTATCTATTTGAGCTTCAGCAGAAGGAACAGCTCCAAGCTCAACCTGAGTGGTCAGAACTTTAGTTCTGTTGCTGCATTACCGTATCAGGTTTCACCGTGCACAGTCTGGGGCCATGGTGGGCATATGGGCTGCACAGCCATGGCCCTGTCTATTTGCCAGGCCTGAAGGCTCTCCTGGCTCTTGTCAGAAAACATCCTGGGTCAGGGAGACTCCTGGAGAGGCCCTAAGCCAAGGCAGCTCGGCAGCAGCTCCTCACTTCTGAGGGTATCTGCCTGTGATCGTGAATGATTCTGTACCATGCTCTCAAGGAGGAAAAGCCTTTCTTCCCTTGAGCTCCTTGTCCGCTAGAGTGAGCCTCCCCAGCTAGGCTGCCTAGTACAACTGTCCTGTATTTCAGGTGAAGCTGGAGCTCAGATCACAGCAAGGTAACCCTAGATGGCTGGATTTTTTTTCCTGAAGAATGCTTGGACTAGTCAGCAGGGTTGGAAATAGAGCCAGATGCTTTAGCAACATGGGCTGCATCCACAAAAAAGCTGCTTGATTTAGTGGCTTCGAACTACAATTTAATTCTTACTGATTTACTTGTCTCTCCTCCCCTTTAACCATTTGTTAGGGATTCACTCGTGTTTCGTGTGTAAGGAGAGCAAGACAGATGTTAAGCGCTGTGTCGTAACTCAGTGTGGAAAATTTTACCACGAGGCGTGTGTGAGGAAATTCCCTCTGACGGTGTTTGAAAGCCGAGGCTTCCGCTGCCCCCTGCACAGCTGTGTGAGCTGCCATGCTTCAAACCCTGCGAACCCAAGGCCATCGAAAGGTACAACTGTGCCTGCACTGTCCCATAGGTGCTTTGAAAGGTGGACATGGCACGGCAGCTTTTGGGTTTGTCACTAAAGATCATTAATCCTAGTTAGTGACTTGGTACTGGTTGGGTTAGGGTTTCCTTTGACAAAGGACCTGCCCCGTATTCTCCTTTCCCTCCTAAATATCATTTTTAATTTTAGGAATGGGGCAACCTCTGAACCATTTTGATAGATTGTTTGCTCTATTTTTAATGGCCCTTCATATATAAGAAAAACATTTTTAGATCGAATGACATTTGCATTATTTAACATTAGGTGTGTGGGATTGAGGGTTGTAGGTTGTCTGACTCCAGTGGTTCTCCACCAGGAGCAGTTTTGCCCGCTGGGGGAATTTGGCAATGTCAGGGGATATTTTGGGGACATGCTCCTGGCATCTAGTAGATAGAGGCCAGGGATGCTGCTAAACATCATACAGTGCATGGGGCAGCCGCCCAAGTGCCCCAAATGCCAGCCGTGCCAGCTGAGAAATGCTGGTTGACTTTATTTTAGAATATGGCATTTCAGATGCTTGGCCATGTTCTCAAACATAGTTTTGAAGCACCTTTGCCTAGACGAAAGGTATTTTTATCAAATACAAAGATACTTTTATCAAAGTTCCTTTCAGCATTAACTTTTCAAATTTACGGAGGCTTGGTAATCTTAGCTGCTGTAATGGAGTGGGCAATGTTTAGGGTCTTCAGGGTGCATTTCTTTGCCTCAGGTAAAATGATGCGGTGTGTCCGCTGCCCTGTTGCGTATCACGGAGGAGACGCTTGTTTGGCAGCAGGATGCTCAGTGATTGCTTCCAACAGCATCATCTGCACGGGCCACTTCACTGCTCGGAAGGGGAAGAGGCACCATGCCCACGTCAATGTGAGCTGGTGCTTCGTGTGCTCCAAAGGTGAGGGGCCTGGGGGGTGCCTGCCAGCTTCTCAGCACAGGCAGCTCTTATTGATGCTCCTAGAAACCATGCATTGAGGGCAAGCTTCAGTCCTATCTATGCTGTGTTTATTGATGTTCATAACGTTTTCCATGTGTTCACATTTAGTAGTGTAGCATGTTATTTCCAAATTCACCATGATCATTTCACAGATTTATGGGAAATTATTTGTGGTAAAAATAACATTAGCTTTTGTCTTACTGTTTTTAAACTAACGTTTAAGAGTTGAATATGCAATAGCTATGGATGGTGAAGGGCCATGCCTGGTCTGAGCTGCACTGGACAGGCTAAGCCCCCCTTGCCTTCTTTTGCAGGGGGGAGCCTCCTGTGCTGTGAGTCCTGCCCAGCGGCCTTCCACCCGGACTGCCTGAACATCGAGATGCCCGATGGCAGCTGGTTCTGCAATGACTGCAAGGCTGGGAAGAAACTACACTTCCAAGATATTATTTGGGTTAAACTTGGGAACTACAGGTGTGAGAAATAGAATCATATGCTTTTATGTCTTTCCTTGTTGAAATGTGTTCGTTTCACTTTATAGTACTTAACGTATTGAAATTATTGTCGCTCTCTCTGAAGAGTCTGTGAATCCTGTTTTTAATATTTATAATAGATGGTGGCCGGCAGAAGTTTGCCATCCCAAAAATGTTCCCCCAAATATTCAGAAAATGAAGCACGAGATTGGAGAATTCCCTGTGTTTTTCTTTGGGTCTAAAGATTATTATTGGACGCATCAGGCTCGAGTGTTCCCGTACATGGAGGGGGACCGGGGCAGCCGCTACCAGGGGGTCAGAGGGATCGGAAGAGTCTTCAAAAACGGTACGGAGATTTCTAGATAGAGAGTGGAACAGCACTCTCGTGCATTTTGTTAACCCTGATCTTTGCTTTTTGAATTTGTCCTTTGTAGAAAATCCTGGACTAAGCATTCTATCTGTACTTTTAAATTAGAAAAAAGTAAGTTTGCAGACTTATTTGTTGAGGCATAGAATAAGATATACTATTAACTTTTGTATCATTAGCGCATGATTAATTTCATTAAAATTAATAAAGCTATTTTTAAGAAATTATTTTTAGTACTAATTTACAGAAAGTTTTCATAGCTTTGTTTTTTGTAAGATGCAGATCTGGAGGAAAGTTTCCTGTTGTCTAGACCGTGTGCACCCAGCTCTCTGTGGTTCCCTTTACCTTTCAGTAGACATAGCTGGGCATCGGGGCCTCATGAGGTGTCAGGTCGAGTGGGTGGATAGAGTGCTCTGCCTCTGATCCATAGCCAGGGTACAAAACAGAGGAGCCACTGTGGCACATGGCTGGCCAAAAACCTGGCATGAAGGAGACAGGATGGGCTGTGGCCATCTCATTGGAGGAATTGGTATTATACTGGAGCAAGAGCAAGTGAAGTCAGTAGGGAAAGCTCAGGTAGCTGTGTTGTAGCTGGATTGATGATCACGCATGTGCAGTGGCAGGTGGGTGCACAAGCTTTGAAAGCTATGTCAGTTCCACTGTGCCAGGGGCTTTGCAGGTTGTGTGGAGCAGTAGGAGCCTGTTCTTCTCCGGCAGGTCCTCAGCACACAGCAGGCACTCAGGTCTGAATAAGAATGAGCAGGCATTAAAAAGATTTTTAGGGTGTGATGTCTCATACCTAAAATCCTAGTGCCTTAGGGGGCTGAGGCTGGAGGATTGATCACCTGAGGCCTAGGTGTTCAAGGTTACAGTCAGCTGGTAAGTAGTGGGTGGTGGGGTCTCCTGACTCTGGATGCAGGCATCCCGTAGAGGCAGACCTCTTAGTGACTGCCAGCAGCCACTGACACCGGGCAGACCACAGGGCATAGCTGGCATCGACATAGACATTGACGGTGGGGCTGTTCTTTCAGGGCAGATATTGGTTATTTGTGTTTTCTTTGTTGCTTGAGTCTGTTTCACCTCTCAGAGCCCCTTTTCTCTTTGAGAAAAACAAAATTGCATTTTCATTTTCTGTCTTAGGACAATGAGTCCTGAATATTGATCCCGGTGCTTTGTCCTCAGACCACAGCAGAGACGGGAGTGCCCAACAGAAACCTACCTGGGGCCTCCTTGTATTGAGCTGATGCAAAACAGCACCCAGGGTCCCTCATTTACCAGGGCATTCTTTGAGCACTCTGCTGTTTAAAACATTTTGCAGCATTTAAAATACCTGCCCTTTTTATGGTTTTCTGTAACCTCTAGTTTTATGGGAACTAGAAAGTATACTTACCGGTGGAAGTTTAGAGTAAATCATTAAAATACAGAGCTTAAAAGGTAGACGTATTTATTTACTAAAATCTTTACTTGCATTTCATTGACTTTTTAGCTCTGCAAGAAGCTGAAGCTCGTTTCCGTGAAATTAAACTTCAAAGGGAAGCCAGAGAAACACAGGAGAGTGAGCGCAAGCCCCCACCGTACAAGCACATAAAGGTGATATGTCAGAGCTGTGTGTGTGAAGTTTTCACCAAGGGGCTGAGTGGTTCTCAGGCATGGCTGTGTGTGTAGTCTTCACTAAGGGGCTGTGAGTGCTTCTCAGGCGTGCAGACTCCTTCTGTGTAGGCTGTGGCTGGTGAGAGGGCTGTCATGAGCTAGTGTCTATAGTGCCAAGTGTGGATGGCTGCACAGGAAGTTGTAGGCAAATAGCTGATGTTATCACCACTGAGTATGTGTCCTTTTTACACAAGAGTGACTGCAGGGTCGTGGCGGGGGGTGGATCTTGGTTTTGCCTACACAAGAGTGACTGCAGGGTCGTGGCGGGGGGTGGATCTTGGTTTTGCCTAAGAGTGTGAAGCTCACCTTTGTGACCAGACAAGGGTTGAATTAATGATAGTCCTGCTCGACTGTCTAGAGCAGGTGGAGCTGAGGGACCAGCCTACCACCTAGACCATGCTGTCACCATGTGCTGGAGTTAAGCTCAGATAAGAGTGGGTCTGTGGGGACCAGTTTCAGCCACAGCGTGGCTCAGTCTCTGGGGCCCTGAGACAGCACAATCTTCCTGCCTCAAAGGTGTGAGATGACCCTGCTATCCTGTGTTTACTGCAGGGAACCCCACAGGAAGCCTGTGCCCAATGTCCCCAGGTGTAGGGGACGATAGCCAGGGTACAGCTTTGTAAGAGCTTCGTGTACCCCAGAGCAGTCTGCCCTCAGGGGCATGTGCTGCTGAGTCTCATCACTCAGAGCCTCATGGCCCAGTGACACAAGGGTGCCAGTGGCCTTGTAGCTGGGTCATGTGCTCCATCTTTACTTTTGAAATCTGGGCTGCAGTCGATATCTTTGTGTGTAAAAAAAGCATTCTCTGTATTCATCTGTATATAATATTTTCTTTGGGATGACTTCCCAGAAACAGAAGTACAGGATCAGAGGGCATGAAACTAAAGATTCTTGGGGAATATTTGTAGATATTCTGTGAAGTGTTGTACAGTTTGTCACAACACAGCAGCTCAAAGGTGTCTTCCACCATATCATCCCTAAAATTATCCATTCCCACTTTAGTTTCTTCTCAGTTCTCTCTGCTACTTTTATCCTTTGGTTGCTCCTTCAATGTTAATAAACTGCAAGGTCATGAGGGCAAGAACTGTGCCCTCCTCTCACCACCGCCTCCCTGGGTGCCCTCTCACGTGGCCATAGATGCCTGGTGAGGGTTAGACAGATGGCTGGGGAAGCTGTACAAGGGAGTGGTCAGGCATTTCCTGGATACCCTGCACTGTGCTAAGCTGTCAGCTTTCTTTTGTTCTTTTTTTTTTTTTAATTTAATTTTGACTCATAGCCTTCATTATCAGGGCAAATAAAGTTTAGCTGTCCCATTCTGTCACAAATATAATTTCGATCCAACTGTCTTTTTCACTCTGTTGCCCAGGCTGGAGTGCAGTGCATGATCACAGCTCACTGCAGCCTCCAACTCCTGGGCTCAAGAGATCCTCCTACCTCAGCCTCTGAGTAGCTGGGACTACAGGCACGTGCCACCGCGACTGGCTAATTTTTTATTTTTTTGTACAGATGGGGTCTCGCTATGTTGCCCAAGCTGGTCTCAAACTCCTGGGCTCAAGCGATCCTCCCACCTTGCTCTCCCAAAGTGCTGGGATTGCAGGTGTGAACCACAGTGCCCTGCCCAGCTCTCTTTCATAAATGAGGAACACAAATACTAAGATAAAATAATGTGGGTGGGCAGGGGCATTGGGATGGGGCTCCCAGGTCATGGGTCTGCCTCCTGTACTAAGAGGGTAGAGAAGAGCTCCTGCCGGGATTGGGGTGAGGGACTGTTCTGGTGCTTGTGACCTCTGAAGCTTAAGACCACCAGGAGGTTGGGTGGGGAGGGGCAGTAGTGGCTGTGCAGGAGAATCCAGAAGGCTCTTCGTGTATGTGTGGCTAAGACAGCTTACTTTTTCCCTGCAGGTGAATAAACCTTATGGGAAAGTCCAAATCTACACAGCTGATATTTCTGAAATCCCGAAATGCAACTGTAAGCCCACAGATGAGAATCCTTGTGGCTTTGATTCAGAATGTTTAAACAGGATGCTGATGTTCGAGTGCCACCCGCAGGTGTGTCCTGCGGGAGAGTACTGCCAGAACCAGTGTTTCACCAAGCGCCAGTACCCAGAGACCAAGATCATCAAGACCGATGGCAAAGGGTGGGGCCTGGTCGCCAAGAGGGACATCAGAAAGGTGTGTGGTGTCCCTTCCCTGCTTCTAAGGAATTATGGTTCACTGGCTTCCTATTTGCTTATTTTGCTATTTGCTTGTTTTTGCATTCATGTGAGAGTGGTATTTTTAAAAATTTTTTTAAATCGAATTATTACAATTGATATTTTTAAATGTTACATGAAAAAGATTATCCATGAGCATTAAAACTCATAAATTCTCATAAATTACATGACTTAAGTCAGAATTTTGATGGTTGCTTTTATGAAATGAAAGATTTGGGAAGTGACCCACTTTCCTTTGGACCAACAGCCAGATGCTTGGGAACTTTCACCAGGCAGATGCAAGGAGATGACCCATATTGGGGGTAGTCCTGGCGTAGTCTAGGACAAAGTCATTAGTAAACGCCAGAGACCACTGATGCCCTGTTCCCACTCTCAGGCTGAATTACCAAGTGCGCCTGGTGTGTAAAGAGATGGCTGGACTTGCTCATCTTGTTGCCACCTTGCCCCAGTGTGCCTTGACGTGGCCCAGGGATTCTCAGACCCCAGGGCCATCCCCACGGCAGATCGAGCACAACCCAGAGAGAATGTAGCGTTGGTGCCAGCCCCAGCAGCAGTAGAAAAGATTGCTTAGGAGTACCTCCCAGCGCTTTCGTTCCTCTGCCTGCCTTGATTGCTGATTTATCCAGACTCTTGCTGCAGAGCCTGTCAGAGTCTTTGTGACCATTTTCCCTGTTGGGGAAATGAACAAGTAAAGGTGAGCTGTGTGGAAGCCTGGTCGTCAGACAGTGCTCCTGAGAGACAAGATATTACAGGAAGAGGGGTTGGAATATTGCTACTTCAAGAATACTTAAATATTTCCTTGACAACCTTTCTTTATAGAATATGTATAAGATCTTTTGAATTTAATTTAAAAAGACTTTGTAAGACCCCACCCAAGGTGTCCTGTGCTGCCCTGTTCTAATTGGTCATGCTGGGTCTGGAGCCCTGACACTAAGAAATGGTCAGTGTGCTCTTTGTTGACACCGTGTTATTTTAATTTCCAGGGAGAATTTGTTAATGAGTATGTTGGGGAGGTGATTGATGAAGAGGAGTGCATGGCAAGAATCAAGTATGCACATGAGAACGACATTACGCACTTCTACATGCTTACTATAGACAAGGTAATGAGAATGGAGCTTCACTATGAGTTTCTGCAGTGTCCTGAACATGGGGCCCTGAGGGTTCGCCTGTAGAAGTAGACCTTGCATTGGGGTGATATTATCATTTTGTCTTCTTAGTCGCTTTATTCAAACATCTGCACATTTTCTTATGAAGTTCAGGGTGTCTTTCAGCAGTCGTGTGAAGGCCAGAGCTAACTTCCTCTCAGCAGTGAGAGCATCCAAAGCTTCACATGTCTAATGACACAGGAAGAGTGTACTAAGTGGTCTTATTTAAGGGCCAGGACAAGAAAAGAGACAAACACAGATTAGGAAAGTTCACATCTTCTTGGTTACATAATGGAGTCTTTTTTGGTTGTTCATTGCTTGTGTGAAGCCCCTATTTTTAAACACTTTGGAACCTAGGTGCTAGAGGGAATCAGTGTTCTTAGAAAAGGAGGATCAGATGATTTGTTTATGAGTGGGCATGTATAAAAGAAAATGCATCTGGAATGCCTTCAGGTCTGGGACCAATGGGTGCTACCAGGCCTTACAGGGCAGCTCCTTTAGTGGCTAAAGCCCGGGGAGGGTGGATGTCATTCCTTCCTTTGCACAGTGGGCTGTCTGCTGCTGGTGACTTCAGCTGGTGACTTCAGCTGGGAAGGTGCAGCATCCTTGGTGCCTGAGTGCTCTTTGAGAGGAGAGCAGACAGAATACATTTTCTTCTGCCTTTTGTTGCTCCTAAGCTCATAATCTACTAGGGAAGTGTTGCTGTTTTTAAAAGCATAGATTAATGATAGTGCTTGAAAACCAGATAGAAAATGATCACAGACCGAAAATTTTGAATGATTCACAGAAGACAGAAATAAGATGTGATGAGACATAGAAAGGGCTGCTGTGGAAGTAAGAATGGTTCTAGGCCAGATATAAAACTGTCATCATATAGCCACCTAATCTTTGACAAAGCAGACAAAAACATACACTGGGGAAAAGAATC